TATCTGATTTTACTTAGTTTATTTATTGCTTTATTTTCGGTATTCATCTATTCCATCTGCTATTTCCTGATCTGATTCTTAGTCGAGTCATGTTCTTAGTGTTAACTATTTCCTGTGTTCGATCCTGGTACTACAGTTGATCCGTATCCTTGCGGTTTTCGCTGTATCTAGGTTTTTATCACTTGAGCATTATTTCTATACCTAGATTTGCGTTATCAAGTTTTTGGCGCCGTTGCCGGGGAATAGTTTAGCGCTAGGATAAAGATTCCTTTGAATCTAGATTTTTTTTCTTTTTCTTTTCCCTCGATTTCTTGATTTATTCTTTGTGTTTGTTCTACTTTCAGGTGTGCAGGTTTCCGGTGTATGACCAGGAGTTCTAGGCCTGACAACCTAGTACCTCTTGACCCTGAAATCGAGAAGTCTGCTAAGCACAATTGAAAGAAGAAACGACAGCAAAGAAAGATGGAGGAACGTGCTATAGTTGCTGAGAACAACAATGACACTTATGGGGCATACCTTCAGCCCAAGTACATTCAGCAACTCTCATGCATTCGCCGGCCTGATATCGACCGTAACAATTTTGAGTTTCAACCGGCATTCATCAATATGTTGAGCTCATCGGCTTTCAGAGGTAAACCTAACGAAGATCCGATCCCTCACTTGACTCGATTCAAGCTACTATGCCAGTCAGTGAGGATAGTCCGCGGAGTTACCGATGAGTCTCTCATGCTCATAGCCTTTCCATTCTCCTTAATGGATACTGCTCTGGAATGGCTCTACACACTACCTCCAGATTCCATATGCTCATGGGAACAGATGCAAGAAAAGTTCATGCAGCGGTTCTTCCCCGCTAGCAAGACCCAGCTCGCGAAACAACAAATTAACTCATTTTTGCAGGAACCTGATAAATCCTTACGTGAAGCTTGGGATCGCTTACAAGGATACCAAAGAACATGTCCTCACCATGGATGGGATAAAAGGTACATTATTTCCACTTTCTTGCAGGGATTAAAGGAGGACACTCGGGTTCTTATTCGAGTAGCATGTGGAGGAAGTCTCAACGAAAAGTCATTCGACTTCATAGAGCAACAGATCAACAAGATGGCCAACGAGTGTGCTCCCTCTCACGAGTTTATCAGAAACGTTAGCCTCAAAGAAAGTCGTGCAGGTAAGGAAAGTCTATCTGAAATTCAGGCATTACGTGCAGAATTGGCAAAACTTAAAATGCAGGTTGAGAATGCCCATCAGATCTCAGACTTAGACACATCAGCCAACAGGTATAAGATCGAAGACGTCTACTATGTAGATAACAACCTGTACTCGAACGTGTCCAATTCGGGGTGGAAGAATCATCCAAACTTCTCGTACACGAATTCTTCCAACGTCTTGAATACTCCCCAAGGAAATTTCGGTGGTCCGTCTAATCAGGGTCATTCTCAAGGACATCAACCTCGACCCCGATCTCTCCAACAACATCAGAATCAGGCCGTTCAACACTACCTAGCGCCTTTTCAATCTCAGCAGAATTACGCTCCGTCTCCGCCTCCACCACAGGTAGATTTTGACCTCGATCTTAAGTCTATGTTCGCACAGCTTATGCAGGGTCAAGAAATCATTCGCACCGAGATGCGTGAACATCAACAGAAGACCGACGCCCATTTCAAGCTTATCGATAATCAAATAGCTCAACTTGCTGCCTCTATACCTTCGCGACCTCAAGGATCACTTCCAGGTAAACCCGAGATAAATCCTAGAGAGCACTGCAATGCAGTGTTCTTAAGAAGCGGGAAGCAACTTGAGGATGTCGTCCCCCCTACTCTTGAAAAAGGTGAGTCTTTTTACTCTAGATCTGCGATCACCTCTAACATTCAGTCTGCAGATACTCCAGTTAAGATGACATGTGAGGAAGAACCAAAGTATGTACCTCCACCTCCCAGACCTCCTCCAGTTCCATTCCCTTCACGACTTGTGCAACAAAAAGAGGCCAACCAGTTTAAGCGCTTCACGGACATGATAAAGAAATTGGAGATCACAATACCTTTTCATGAGGTAATCACTCAAATGCCCTCTTATGCCAAATTTCTCAAGGATATTCTGGCTAGGAAGAAGATAATGGAGAAGCAGACAGTAGCATTAACCAAAGAGTGCAGTGCCGTTTTTCAACATGATCTGCCCCGTAAGATGGCAGACCCAGGTAGTTTCTCCATTCCTTGCAAACTGGGCAATCTCTTTATTGAGCAGGCGTTATGTGATCTAGGAGCAAGCGTAAGCCTAATGCCATTGTCGATCTTCAAGAGACTAGGTGTGGGTGAACTCAAACCCACACAAATGATATTACAATTGGCAGATAGGTCGACCAAACAGCCTGCAGGTATACTAGAGGATATGCCACTTAAGGTGGGTGATTATTACATACCTGTCGATTTTGTGGTTCTTGACATGGATGCAGATTCAAGCATGCCTATCATTCTAGGGCGTCCCTTTCTCAACACAGCAGATGTCGTCATCCACGTCAGAGCGGGTCGTCTTACTATGTCCATTGGAGACGAGACAATAGAATTCATGCTCAATCAAAATGACAATCCAGACGAAAGTGTGAAATCTATTTGTTCAGTTTACAAGCTCAAAACGCCTAAGAACCAGGACCACAGACACAAGGTTAGGAGAGGACCGGATCCAGATAGGACAAAAGGTAAGAAAGAAGCTAACATGGTTGGGCAGGTCACTAACTCATCAGACCATCGTGAGAACTGGCTCGAATCTCATGCATCACCACCAGATTTTTCTCTACTAGGTACACCTCGTTTCTCAAACTCATTTTTTTGTAGAGATGCTCTTAAACTTCATGATCCAGGTTGGCAGAAGATCGATAATCTTCGCCCATTAGACCCATCCGGTAGTTGAGAGAGTTTGGTCAAGCTAAGGACCCTAAACAAGCGCTCCCGGGAGGCAACCCGAGTCCTTAGATTAGTTTTCTTTCTTTTCTGTTTATTTTTGCATCGGATATTGGTTTGTGTCTCTTATCACCAGGTTGAGTTCTAATGAGGAATTGAGGAGGCGAGGAAGCTAGCTATGCGATAGACGTAGGCAGACTTAAGTGCGAGTGAACGAACATCGCGAGCTAAGTATTCTTTTTCCTTCTTGATTTTCTTCTCTTTTGACTCATTTTATTGGTTGCCTCTATTAGACGAGAATTGACACCGAGGACAATGTCCAGTTCAAGTCTGGGGGAGGATTCGTCTAACGCCAAACCATATCCATATAGAGTAGTGTTGCATGCATTTTTCTCTTTTATTTTCACTTTTTAGTTGCATATGCATATAGGATGTTTTAGGATCATATAGTTTGTTGTTATTAGGGTTATGCATTTACATATAGTATTTAGGACATATAAGATCACGTGCATAAAACCGTTTTGAACATTGATATGATGACCTATGATATGAGAGAGTAGAAACGTCCTGAAAACATTTGATCTGTTGAACGTGGTTATGTTTTGTTGAATTGATTGCTTGACCTTTAGGATTTTCTAGAATGGCTTGTGGGATAGAAATCGTTGGTTGGAACCCATGGGACCGATGTTGTCTAGCCAAGAGAAACGTTTCTATAAGAATCTTTCCCATGTTTGCTGGAATCGGTAAAGTCTATTATCAAATGCATTCTCATTTCTTTATGTGCAGAAAAAGATAGTGAGCATCTCGACACTCCGCTGTCATTATCTCGTCAACGAAAATCATTCGAGGACATGAGTGCATCGATTAGATGGTTCGGGTCTAAGTTGTAGGTCAGGTCATCCAATGAATAAAATCGACAAAAAGAGCGATTATGAACCCTTCAACTTCAACGTC